CCGGGGCGAGCGACCCACGGCGGTCTGGGTGCTTATCGCTGCTATTATAGGGGCACCCCGGCAGACGCAGAAAGAAAAAAAAAAATGGGGACATGGCGTGCGTCACCGTGCGGCTTCGCAGCGTTGCCGAAGTCGCCGAGCCCTTCGACTGAGCCGAACGGCGGACAGGGAACGTTGGTCGGCCGTTCTAACCTGTCGGTGCCACGCCGAGACGTCGTTAAGGAAAACCGCGTCGTGGGCCTCTACGACGCCGTCGATTCGTTGTACGTTTGGTGTCCAGCGTGTCGGCGGCGAGTAGCGGACACGTCGTTCACGACTTCGGTCTTTCGCAGTCGACGCGAACTTGCGGAGAGTCGTGGTGCCTCACGTTTTCGGCAGAAACCGCGGCGGAATTTTCCCGTGCGTGCGCGCACGACCTCGGTGCTGTGCCGTCAGCGTAGTGTTGCACAAACTCGTGGCCTACCCAAGGTGCGGTACGTTTGCGGCCGTATCCTCGGTGGCAATTTCGTGAGTAGGGTCGCAAATTCTACGACCTCGGCGGGTTTGAGAGCGACGTAGACTTGTGGCACGCTCAACGTGCCACACGTTTCGGGGCACACCCGCGGTGAAATTTTCTCGAGTACGCTCGTATTAGTGCCCAAGGAGGTCTGGGTACTTATCGCTGCTATTATGTGGGGGTTCTCGTGAGCGGCGTACGCGAAAGCGACCGGGTGTCTGATATGCGGCGGGCTTCGGCCTCGTCAAGCGTGTCCTCGGGTCTGCTCCAGGGGAATCCACGGCAGTCGTCTGCAGCCTCATCCGCTTGATGCGTTAGGGGCTGGTTGTCGGACGGTGCCGTTTTACCACGATATCGAGGTGTGTTCCGTGTCGTCCTCGGGCGATTCAGATGCGAAAGCGCCGAAGACGCGGGCGTGACCCGTCGTCTGGCGGCTTTGCGGTCTCGGCTCCGTTGCTAGTTCCGGCCGGTCCACCGACAGTGCAGCGGGCTTGGGCAACCCGCACGGCGCGACCGAGTCGATGCAACGAAAAAGAGCGAGCATGAACGTGCTTCTTGCCGCACGGCTCCCACTCGTCTTTCGGGAAGGTTGTGCCGTAGCGAGCTCGAACGCCGTCATCTCGGAGTGCAAAATAAGCGTGTTGGGGCGCCTGAAGGTGGCCTCCGCCGCACACAGACTGCGTCCGGCCCGCCGAAGGCGAGGACGGACGCGCAGTCGAACGTGTTTGCAGAGTTTGTTTACTCATGCGCTCTGAACTAGTATTTATTTATTTTATTATTTATTTATTTATTTATTTATTTATTTATTTATTTATTTATTTATTTATTTATTTTATTATTTATTTATTTAAAGTACGCCTCTTATAACGACGCCTAGAGTCGTGTTTGCAGAGTTTGTTTACTCATGCGCTCTGAACTAGTATTTATTTATTTATTTATTTATTTATTTATTTATTTATTTATTTATTTATTTATTTATTTATTTATTTTATTATTTATTTATTTATTAGAATACCCTCAGGGCCCGTAGGGCATTACAGAGGGGGTGGGTACAACATTTATAACACACAAGGGAAAAAAAGACAAAATAAAGAAACAAGTGTCAGGTGCGCAAATCAGGAAGGCAACATAAGTCAACTAAATATGTATAAGAATTCAAGCACATACAAGACAAAGATAGATAATGGGAACTGCGTATAGTTACAAGCATTGCTGAGAAATTGCAGTCTTGAATAACAAAGGGTCTGTTATTGTTACAATGGAAGAGGGAAGGTGGTTCCAATCGGCGGCTGTTTTCGGTAAGAAGGCGGTAAGTATTGAAACATTACCAATGAAACTTAAAGATTTATATGGATACATACATCGGGGTACATATAATTGAAAAACTTTTCCTTTCAATGCATTGTGTTGAGAATACATGAGTTTTTATCTACCATGTTTGTAGCACAAGCACGATGTTAACACGTTACCTTATGTAAAAAAAGGACATATATCGAAAATTTGCTTGCGTGAAAGCAATATATCAATGCGCAATGACATGAAAGCTTCCTGAGACGCTGTTTCATGCTTTGACAAAGTCATGTTCTTAGACATCTGTACACCCGTGATGATTGCTGGATGAACCACACACGAGCCTGAATGTCCAACTATGGATTTAATGGCCGAATTGTGGACGATCGAGCTTCAAGGATATTCCGTTTTGGTTGGACAGTTGCTTGGCACCGTTTCTTGTAACTCTTTATTTTGCTATACTCTGGTAACGATTGTATTGACTGCTCCTGTAACTGACCACGGGTGTAACAGGTGAATGGAGGTTTCTGAAGAGCACCTGAAATTATAACAAAGTGGATTGCACAGAATATCTAGGGCACCCAACAAGCCGTATTGGGATCAAATCTGAAGCCAGGGCGGTGATGGGATTGAGGTCGCCAAGGTTGGAGCCTGCCAGGGAATGTACGCATACAATACAGGCTCTTCGCGGGTGAGGCCAGTTGTCTATACATGATCCGAGCGCGTGCAGGCCTCAGAGAGCTCTAACCCACTGGCAAGATCGGGTTCCAGCTTTGGCACTCTCATTCCACTTACTCTCGTGATGGTGCTTTTTATTATGTTAAATAGTAATACGTTGATTACGAGCAGTACTTTTGGAAACTCTTTCATTTCTTTAGCACAGTCCATCTCGTTAGAAGTTGTGTCATTGTTACTTGTGATATCGCATATCATGCGACTCATCAGACATTCTACTTATGTCACAATTGTCGCAATACACGTAAAACTCTACAATTAAACTTTCCTATGTCTTCATTAACTCATTATCTGCAGGTCTTCATTAACATTTTGTTAAACAAAGAGGCGAGCCATTGAAAATTGCTCTATTTCATTCATTCAAAACGAGAGTCTTGTTCCGGCAGTGTTGATGCCGCTAGATAGTACGCGAAAGCTTATCGCTTAGCTCTCCACTTTTGATAGGGTCATATGTTGCGTGACGTCATCGGCGGAAAACAGTTTCCCACACTCGCCGTCAAGCTCAGAGTGGCGCTGACTGACACTGACATTATGGCTTGGTGGCGCTAGCCACCGCCCGATCTAAAGGGTATAGCCATATCCATCCATCCACCCATCCAAGGTTTGCATGCACATATATACCCGATAAATAGACGATTGGCCGACCACTGCTCTAGATCAGTTGGCAATAGCATCGGGCGCGTAATCTGAAGGTCCCAGCTTCAGTCCTGCCAGCGGAAAATTGTATTTTCGATCGCTTTAGTTTCTTGTTATATGTATAACAACTACTACTGCAAACCTAAAATAAAATAATTAATGTGTCCTACACCTCCCTTGGCTTCACTGTCTACGTATTTTTGTTTTTGTCTTTCGAAATGCTGTACTTCTGTTGTTCCGCAGGCACTTTCGTCTGCCGTGACCCGTATATATAGCGGAGCGACTCATTGCAAAATCTGCTGCTTGATCTACGTGCCCGTAAAATAGCCATGGTGAAGTGGCCGCAAAATCTGCAGAAACAAAACGCTCGGAATGCAGGGATCATGTGAATCCCCTGTGGTCTTTGCAGCCCCTCGCTACATATCCGTGTATCAACTGCTCTCGTCAAAGTGAAGGCACTCCATGGGAGATTCGGCGAGAGTGATCTCGCTCGGAGCTACGCACTCCGGTCGCGATCCGGTCAAGCACTCGCGATCTCTCATTGGAATTCAACAATAGACACCGGGTGCTCCAGCCTACATGTAGAATAATGACAGAGTTGACAGGTTTAAAGTTAAATGTTATATTATGAATACAAAGACGGCGGAGAGCGTTGCTAAGCTTCTTGTTAGCAGTCCAAGTACGCCACTTAGCCTGATCTGCCACTCTTAAAACTTACGCATATTAATCAGCTCGCAAACGCATCTCAAGAAGGCGGGAAGTAACGCTATTCACCTGGGGCTCTTTAACGCGTGCCTTTTTCTAAGAAGAAGAAGGTGTTTAATCAGAAAAAGGAAGAGAGGTCCGCCTTGAAAGCGGGTTTATGGCCTGCTAGTGTTCTAATAACACCCGTTTTTCGGCTGGTTGGTGCATGGCATTAAGAAAATATATCGAGCCAAAAAATAAACGTACACATGAAGCAGACAAGAAGACAGGAAAGCGGCTAGACTATCGAGTATAGTTGGTCTGGCCGCTTTTCCGTCTTCTTCTCCCTTTCCTGAGTTCGTTCTTTTTTTTTTGCTTCACATATTTTCTTAATATAAGTGCACAGGTGTTCTATGGCACCTCTATCGAAGTGCGGCTATCGAAGCTGCCCGACGCCGTAACCTTCTAAGCTACCACGGTGTGTATAAACACGCGTTCGTCGAGGGGTTTTTCAACACCGAAATCAGGCTATCGAGGTTTTAGCTTTTCGACTATTCGTTTCTGGGCTATTGTGTGTTCGTTCATTCGGAACAGGACCCGCTTCATATGGTGGGGCGCGAGAGGCACAATACTCCAACCTCTGGGATTCCTTCAGCTATGCGACAAGATGTGCAATACCTTGGAAGATTTTGGTGATTAAGCCCAGCACTGACAGGATGAACAGCGAATTTTAAGTCGATCACACCTGTCATGCAGATCACATGTACAACCACGTAGCCTTGAAGAGAGGCGGCAATTGCGAGGTACAATAGGCTGAAAGCGCCCGCCCACAATTTTTTTTTCTTTCATCTCCATTAGGACACGTTTCAAGTGTTAGAAGAATAGCGTCTCTTGTTATGCCTGGGTTTCTAGAAAATGCAGAGGTTTACTACTTTTATGAGTTTGATTATAGTTATCAGTAATGTAGTGAAAACAATAGAATTAAATACAAATAAAAAGATGATACCACAGCAAATAAGCAGCGCAAGAACTACATTGGCTACCACACGAGTACAAGGGAGACAAGCTCAGATTATGAAGTGCATTCCCTATTGCACGTGTCCGTATTATTTTTGGTGCAATTGGCCGCGAATGGGTCGTACTTCTTCTCCTTGTCCAGATTGCGGTGGGAACCTGACCGCGGAGAGGGGCACCTTCAGCCTCTTGCCGACGATGGTGGACAGCGACAGTGGTTCCTCTCGCTGCACCTGGCGCATCTACGCGCCCGAAGGACGAGCCGTCGAGCTCCAGCTGGAGCTGGGCCCCGACCAGCACGCCATACACGGTGTGGATTGCGCCGACGCATTCGTGGCCAGCCGAGTCCAAGTACTGGACGGCGACAGCGACCTCGCCCCACCCATTGCTGTTTTCTGTGGCCGTCATGGAAGCCCGGACGCCTTCAAGAGCACTGGACGTGTCATGACCGTAATGCTGGTCGTCAACCCGATGTATCTCGTCGGAAGTGGATTCAGGGCCTCTTACCGCTCCACGCTAGGTCAGTGAGGAATCGCGTCATTCCAGTCTGCCTTGTCACTCCCACCGCATGAGCCTAAAGCTGTACAAGGAAATGTTTAGAAAGCACCGATTCAAGTATTTTGTGCTTTATTTCTCTGAACAAACTTACTTTGAAATATATTGGTCAGAAATTCTTGTACAATTACAGCAGGCGAATGTTTCGTATACCTTTCGTTCGCATAAATAGCGAAGATAACTTACGGCCGCATGCATGTTGGCCTCGCTTCATATTGCCGCTGGCGCTGTGTGGGATAATTAATCCACGTGAGCTTCTGCGAGGGTGACGTACACTTACCGAATACGTGGTACAGGTATGCGTGTTTACAGTCACGCCTTCATTCGCGTAAATGGAACTAACTGTTACTTCATCTAAACCCACATGCATCTACAGAATTCACCATCCGCTGAACTACGAACAATCACTGTTCATAGCTTCGTCCTGCTTCCTCAGTTGATTTGTCTGTTGAAGATTAAAGGGGCCCTGAAACACTTTTTCAAGCCACTATGGAATGAATTTACTGGAAAAGCTTATTGCCCCACGAATTCAACGTCACAAAAATTTCAAGAATCCGTCCAGTGCGAGTGGAGTTGCGAAGGTTTGCAAGCGCTGGAAGCTAAGCAGAAAGGGATGGGCGGGGCAAACAAAAACTTCACGCGCGCTTCGCCACCTTGAGCAGTTTTTTCTCTTTTTTTTCGAATGCACGGTTTTTTCAGTGTGATCGCGCGCGCTCGCGTGTACAAGTAATGGCTTCCCGTGGTGATCTCTATAACGAGCGAGCGCGCCATGTGCAAATCGGCAAATGGCTGATAGATGGGCTTGCTACGTGTGATTTTGGGCATATTCCGTGATTTGTCGAGAGAAGATAAAGCAATTTTTAGCTGACTGATAATTTATTATGAATTCCAGGCCACGTGCTGCGCTATAATATTTGGCTCGCGTGTTGTCGGGAGCCTCTACTACTGCTCAGCAGCGTTTTCTGACCATGCTCAAAAAGTGTTGCAGGACCCCTTCAAAATAAATTAAGGCTATAGCAGTAGTGTGATACAGCCATTCAGACAAAGCGTTTCCTCTTCGCCGAGCATAGTATTCGCGTTCATTTGGGAAGATCTGGTCGAGACGCTGTAATACCCGTGCCACACGGGCATAGAAAATGACATTTGGTGGCGAAGGCCTTCAGTTCCCGAATGACATTCGTTTCGCCGGCGCTGCTACACGTCCAAAGCGAATGACATTTGACTTGACGATGTCGATCACAGCACCTTCCAAGTGAGCATTGAGTGAATAGCAATAAAAAAATTAAGAAGCATTTACAAGCTTCATACACATCAGATAATCATCAAATGTAGAAATAAGCGTATAACGCTGTCCTAAGTTTTAGTTTCTTGCTTTGTTTTACAACGTTGCAGCCGACTGTAGCAACCTAAGCCAACACTAGTCAGATCCACAGCGTAAATAGACACTAAAATTGACAAGCGTTTCGTTATCAATACTTTATTTTTTTCGTATAACGTTCAAAGCATTTTTTAAGACTTTAGTGCAAATAAAAGACGGGAAATTTCATTTTTAGCTCAATATAATTTGTTTTATATACTTTCAGGTAAATCGCACTTCGCGAGCTGTGTCATCGAGAGTAGGCATTTCTCAGTCAACTGAGTTCTGGCGAAGGCAGTTGGTGGCGAATGGCATTCGAATGGCATTCGGATGAATGCCATTTTGTTCGCCCGTGTGGCACCGCGCGAATGGCAATAAATCTGAAGGCATTCGGGGGTAAATGCCATTTTTTCTGCCCGTGTGGCACGGGTATTAGACAGGTCACAGCTCACTAGCGTTCATTTCTTTTTCTTTCTAATTTCGAGGGCTCTTGAAAGGCTCCGTTCTGCCTCTGAACAAAGCTACTGAAACGAGAGAAGTTTCACTGATGATATAATGTAGAGGTGGCTAACAGCTTTAGGCGTTCCTTTTTCAGCCGTGGTTCATCATTATTGTGCTTCCTACTAAATCTAATGCAGGAGAGAAGCAGGGCTGTGGCGGCACCCTTCGCCAGGAATCCGGCTCGCTAGCACCACCCAGCCGAGACAGCTCGGGCAGCTACCCAGGTGGCCCACTCAACTGCCTCTGGACAATCATTGCCCGCTCGGGCTACGGCCTCGAACTGAATGTCTCGGCTCTCAACCTGGGAAGCGGAACGCTCCCTTGCAACGCCGCCAGCGCCAACATGCTGGAGGTACGAGTCAGCTTCAGATCTCAATAAATACATCCTAAATCGCCTAGTACCATTGTAGAGACTGTTGCAAATACTTTCCTAGCGTCAATTACCCATATAACGTGGTCTTTCGTCTTCTATGTGATGTGAATTACACTGGTTACAAAATTTCGTGAACGCCAACAGTGGTTGCGTCTGTCAGTGTGTATGTCGTAATTATTACCCAGCACCTGGAGCAGCATGTCCGGCGAATAGCCAACGTGTGCAGTATTTCATCGAAGCATTCCCTCTCTCACCCACCCTTCCACCCAGCGTCACCTTAGTACTACCTGTGACGACAGACGAGGCCTTATTTCGCTTGTTTGTTGGTGGAGATCGCGCGCGTATACGGACGCCTGCTCCACCCCGGTGGTTCGGCTCATAATTTCTTTGCTTTTTTTAATTTCCTACACCCTTCCCCATGATGCTCAACAGATTTATACTAGCGATGCAAAAGGAGAGCGAAAACGCCGAAGATAGCGAACATTCTTTTTCACGTTTGAATAAGTTCACTTTTGCTCTGCTCTGCCGCTTTCAACACTTTGTAAGGCTCGGTAACGAAGGATGTAAGTGTATACGCCATTTCGTCCACTTTTGGGGCTACTCTGTTTCGCAAAAAGCATTGAGTTCTTACTATACATGCATGCTGATCAGTGATCATAGACAAGAAACAGTTCAGCATGTTTCAACAACTTGTTTTCTGGAGGTGCGCCTGCCGGTGCATCTTCAGACAGATATGGTTGGTTTTCAGGGTATTGCGTCTGATGTGGCGTCTCCATCGGCAATGAAGCGCTGAATCTGCGGAAATGCTCTTTTAGTTTTACCAGTACTCGATGCAAATATAGTATGCTATCGTCCCCACTCTTTCACAGTTTGAAAGTGATCGCCCATTTCTCAGCCCTCTCCCCTTCACCCGCATGTCAAGAAGCTATAGCACGCTATTATAGCACCACCGTGAGGCGAGTTCAATACCGATTGCAACACGCGTTAAGTGGCTTCGCGTATTGAGGTGTAAATATTTTTTGCTTTGCTGTTCAAGCTGGGTAGTTACGTTAAACTCAAATATATAACCAAAAACGTTGTTGTTTCTTTGTTCTTGATGATGGCCTTAATAAACGAGAGAATAAGTTGTAAGTAAGCACAACTTTCAAACTTCCGCACGTTTTAGTTCTCACCCGTCACCCTTCATCACTGAGTGCCTTTGGCCTTCAATCGTTTCTTTAAAATGACAAAGAAAATAAATCTAAACAGTCAGTGTATCCTGACAACATGGACTCGTGACTAGTTTAGAATCGGTTCTCATAGACAGCGTATTCAATTTTTTATAAGCATTATTCAGTATGTACGAGGATCCCATAGCTGTTCAAAAAAAAAAAACGAGAACTCCGTCCTGTGAGTGTCTGAATTTAAATAATAGCTCAAACATGAGGCAAACGGTCCAAGTTTGTGACGTCACAGTAACGTGCCCGCTCTTTCATGCTATGGGTCTAATTCGAGCAGGAAAACCTCGTCTTTCATTTTTCCGCTCACAAATAAGTGATTTCGTTAAATGTATTTTAAGGGTACTCCAAATTATACTTAAACTGGTAGCGTAACTTCCATAGAAGCCCATGTATCCAGTAGTTGGCGGCTCGTTACCATCGTCGCACTCTACGTATGATGGGGGCCACTAACGACTAATAAAAAATAAAATAAAATATGACGTCACAACCGGAAGCGGAGTGACGTCGTGAGTCCTACATAGCGCAAAATCAAATTTTTTTATTAATTGTTGACTTTTTAGGTGTCATTATAAATACGCGATTTTATTGCGCCTTATTACTCGCTCATTGCGTGTCCACGAAAAAATAAATACCAACAATAAATACTGCGGTAGCAAAGCTGTTTCATCATCCAAATGGTGTACTTGCCATTTACACGGAAAACTTCGCAGGTGACATTGTGACACAACTGTCCACGAGCGCAATAGCATGCATACTAGTTCAAAAACTCACGTTGGCCAATCGGGGAACACGTCTGAGTCAAGACAGCAGCCTTAAGAGCATCGCTTTGGCAACCGTACAGTACAGCGTCTCGTCGCTTAGCGTGTCTCACTAACCTTCACCAAAGGCGAGGGTACGCCGGCCGTGCGCCAGCGAAGGCAGTCGGCAGTCACAGGAGCGGCTATCCACACATTCTGTGAGATAGTTCAGCTCGGAAATGTCACGCCAGTAAACAGCACATGAGAAAATAAATAAACTACGGAAGGTGCGTATGAAACCACCACGCAAAATTGAGCGATGCCTCGTTGGCCTGGTGATGCGTGAGCTCTGATGGCAGGTTGCCTGGATACGCTCCGCCATTTATGGCAGTCGATCAAAAATTGATGCGATCAACCATTTAGGAAGGTGGCAGAAAACCCGAAAAGTAAATTTATAGTGAACTTCGACATATACAAAACTACAACTATTTGAAATAAAAGAGTTTTTTGTTTTGGTCATCTACCCCTCCTAACCTATAGTCACGCTTCGATCGATGGTGCGCGTTGAGGCCTGTGGCAATACGTTTTCGACACTACAAGTTTCGTGACCCATATAATTCGACCACGTGATCTTTTCAAAATACGCACCATTCAAGTAGTATCTTTAGTAGCTTCTTTGCAGAGGCATTTACATTGTCATCATGCGAGCCTAATGTAGGAATATTGGCACATTTATAGACTAAACACTTCAAGGAACTTAGCTGGGCACTACCGCAAGCATTCTTAACAAGGCTCACTGAGATGGAAGTGTGTAGAGGTGGTAAGAAAAAAACTATTTAGGGGCAAGAACAGTTTCACTATACTGTCCATGTTCATGCGTGTAGCACTGGTGATGCTTAATACTACTGGAGAGGTATCGAAGGGCGATAAATGCTTCTACCGAAAGGGTACAACTGTGGCAGCGTACCTGCCGATGGAGATTGAAGCGTACCCGAGAAGAGCATGTGGAATTTATATTGAGTTTGTACTCGCCTAAAGCCACCCGAAGGCAATATCGATATTCATCCTCTTACCTTTCTTCTAAGCCCTTTGTATATGTGGAACCTTCTCCCCCTCTTAGCAAGTTTTCTCGATCTCGTGTGTTTGACCTGCCTCCGGCATCGGCTCACCTTTGGCGGCAATGTCGTGTGATGACACGTAATCACACGACACGTATTCACGTAATTTATATGACGTCGTTATGAGGTCATTTGCCAAGACGTGACCTTTTGCATCGTATCGTGTTAACGCCGACAGCCACTTTTCACGTTCGATGAGGCCATTGTCAGTTGGCGTAATACTTTCGAGATGTGGTGAGTCAGTGCGTGCTTTACGAGTGGCACTTGTCTGTTTTCAATGCCCGAACCTGGTGAGAGTGTAGTGGGCAGCCTAAGTGGCAGCGATGCACGTCGGTGCAGGTGTGGGACTCCCTGGACGAGCACCAGGAGCCACTGATACGTTTGTGCGGTCAGCGACCACCGGAGGCACCGCTGCGCTCAGCCGGAAACACATTGCTCGTGCGTCTTGTAACCAAGGCCAAGGGAGAAGGACCAGGTTTCGCCGCCTCTTTCAAAGAACTACCACGTAAGTGCACATATGCATCATCAAGAAAGTATTCTTTGGCGCCCTTTTCGCACAACAGGAAATGTGGACGTAGTGACTCCACCTAAATTTGGGTCGTTTTCATCGCAAAATAAAACTATTTTAGCCGCCCCGGTGATTCAATGATTTTGGTGCATGTATGCAGACCCAAGAGTCGTGGAGTGGTTTTCATCCCGGTTGCTTGTTGGAGCTTTTGTGCAGACCGAATGCTATAGACACGCCTGATGTCCGATGCTACTATAAAGGAACAAAACGTGATGAAATTTAACTTGATCCTTCCACTATGCGTCTCTTAAAGCATCAGCCTCTTTGGAACGTTGAACGCCGTAAGCCAACTAAAGAGGGCTGCTGCCTTACCATAGAAAGGCACAACAGAGTGAAGCCATTATTACAGCACTTCTTTAAATTTTAGTACTGCTTAAGAACATGGTAAATGTAAACCTGCGAATAAAGCTACAAATGCCCGGTTATCTTTTGATAGCAGAAGGTTTTAGGGAAAGATACTGACCAAAGCGAAAAACCATGAAGACAAGCGGTACTTCTTCTTAGACTTATTCTTTCACCTAATTAGAGTAGAAACGATTGCACAGTTTTCTGTGACACCATACGACGTGGGACCCTCGAGCAAAGAAGGAAATGGAAGGGGAAAATAGAAAATTCGCAGGCTTTTCCATTTCATCAAGGTGGTTTACTTTCCAAGCGCAGTACCTTCGTGTCCATATAAAGCACGTGCAACGGTACGACAACTCGTCTCCTGCTACCGATATTGATGAAAGATGTACCTTGCGCACTTACCATTGTGGTGTGTCTGCCCGAGGTACATATGGGGAACAACCAGCGCGCTCTCATCGTACAGCGATCACATGTGTGTTTTGTCTTGGCTGGGCACTATGGCCATGCCAATAATGAGCCTACTTTTCGAGTCCCTCCTCGCACGCATAGTAGTACACTACAGTGTCACGGACTTACAGCGCGCGTCACTCCGGTGGACAGAACCGAGTTGTTTGGATATTAGATCATGGTTGTCAACAAATGTTATCAAAGAAAATATCTAGTTCAGCAGCATTCCCCCCTTATCGGCCCTACCGGAAAAACAAAGTCTGGCACTTTTGAGAAAAATAACAAAAGATTGCTGAGTTTCTCTGTGCTATTAAACACATTATGGATGCCACCAAGCACAATTATGTGGAACGCTTAGAACTATGGGAATGTAGAACGCTGCAACTGTGTTTCTGCGCACGCGAATATCGCAGTGACGAAGTGAAAGAGGAGAGGGTGCACTCACGTGAGCATGTTCACGTCTCAAGCTTTGACTTTTGTCACACAGATGTTACGAAACCATACATACTTTAGTAAAATTATTTAGTGAAACTAAAGGTCCCTGGTGCAGTCTCGGGTTTCGGTCCGAAATAATGCAAGTCAACGGGACCCGTGGTCGCAAATCTGAAGACGTCTTTATTGTGGCTGGGCCAGTCCAACGCCCACTTCGTTTTCGTCTCTTCAGCCTCACCCAAGCCCGTGTCCCACTTCTGCACTTTCCGCAGAAAGTTCGTACGACACATACAAAACAAGAGGAGCGCTGTCTAACAACATTGTCATTATTGCACCTCATCTTAGGATATGTCTTTGTAACAGTTTATGTGACTATTGTCGCCCTTTCACGACTACCGTTCTAGGACATTGCCATTGTCATTTACCATTTTATGAATGCCCTGTTCAAGTATATTCTCGTATTGTGTTTTACTATACAGTATAATTATGCCGCATGTCTTTCGTTTAAATAAAACTTTTTAAAGAAATCGTTCTTTCAATTAAAATTTATTTTAAACGAAACCAACTTAAGGCAGTCCAGAGGGCCCAAGAACTGGCGGAACGCCACCACGTTCCCGCCCCGACTCGGGCGTCGCCTACGGTAGCGGCTGCTAGGATGTCCCACGTGGGCACCCTGGTGGCTTAAACTCCTCAGGACCATATATTAAAGTTCTTGACTGAAACACATACAATCATATACATACTTTCCTTTTACACGATGCTCTTTTTTACAGCGACAGCTGTTATGAAATCACAACACGGGTCGCGTGCTGTGCTGTATTGTCCAACGCTACGATGTTCATAACCACTATCGCGCAAAATAAGAGAACACTAAGTAAATAAGAAGATGAAGAACTCAATTGGATTCGAATCCGTGTACCCTGCATGCTAGCCCATTATTCTATAACTGAGCCACGCCGGTGCTGGAAATCACGTAGCAAACTGGCGTTAGGCAGGCTTGATGGCGACAAAGCAATCACGTTATTGTGAGTGATAAAGCGTTTCAAAACGGCAAAAGAACAACCAGGCGTCACCTAGTGCGAATTGCGTAACGAATGGGTCACTGACTGTCCCAGCCTATTTTAAAAGCTTCGGGCATAATTCTACGTTGTCATGAGTCACGGGGTAAAAAAAAATAAGCGAGATTCCTTGCAAGTGTGTAGTAGGTACCAAGCTTCTCCAAAGAATAATAAGCGATGGCGTATAAAATGCCCCCCTCTCCAACTACACAAAAATTATGACGAATAATGGCGTAGTGGGTACCCTGCAAGTGTGCTTGTGCCAGTTACCCAACGCGTGTTTAAAAAAAAGACTCTAAAGCACCGCTCTTCCTGTTTTCGTTGTGTCTGTGCTGCGCGTTTCGCGCAGACCTGGTTTTTTTTTTTTAAGAGCCAAAGCATCCGGTAGTAAAAAGCAACGGCCTACCCGTCGCATTGTAAAGAAACATGCAGACGGCAGAGTCCCCCGTTGGCTGACAAGAAGATTATTGTAGCACTAATTACTAAACATATTATAGACTATAGATCAAAAGTGATTGAGAAGCTCATAATTAGCAAGAGTGGTTACTGCGATTACTGCGCAAGAGTGTTCTCGCGTTCTGTTACCCATTCGTAAATTTTCGTTAAGCACCCGCCGTCCAGTTTACGCCATTTGCCCATGTGTGAGTTCAAGAGCAGCATTACGAATGTCCTCAGCTGAAAGTATAAAAAGGCCCAGAACACGCAATATCGTTCGCTGCGAATGACATTGAAGCATCGTGGACGATTTGTAACTCTTACATGAAGATAAAAAGAAAAAGCTCGTTTAAAGCATTAGAATATTGAAGTTTTTACAAGTACACGCATTAAGCGTTCTTGAGGCCCATGCTGATGGCGCCTTCAATCACACGGTCACATTCCTATATAATTCTGGCATGTGGGGGATTTTTCCTTCCCACAGCCTTGTGCGGCGGCAGCGTCAACGTGAGCGGCGACTCGTGGCAAACCCTGCAGAGTCCGGGATTCCCCAACACGGCGCCAGCTAACGTCCGCTGTCTATGGGTGCTTCGAACCCAGGAGCCGGTCACCCCCAGCGGTGAAGTGCAGTTGTTCGAAACCGACGATGTCTTTCGTGACGTCACCATTCGCCTGAAAGAGATGCGCTTGCCGTGTGAGGACGGCGCGTACTTGGCTCTGATAACCACACAGAAGGTGAGCATGATGGAAAGCGATGAATGGCACAGAATACCTGCACCAACGCAATTGTCGGACATGTGCATCAGCTACTTATTTTTTTTTTTGTGGAAACATTGACACAATACGAACGTGTTCTTTGCAATTATTTGCGGTTACCAGGGCTGCTACCCCGTATACGTCCGTAGCACATGCGCATTCAGTGAACAATAGTAATGCACGCAGAGCTCTTAAGACCAGTTTGTTATCTTTGATGATATGCCTCTGCACTTTACCTCCTCTTCGTCTTTTATTGCTATCTTTGCACGTACTGAAAGCAGCGTCCGCTCTGCAGTATTTGCAGCTTCCTCCCGTACGCCTGTGCGGTCACAGTGTGCCCCAGGAGTGGTTGAAGCCACACGCCTCAGCCAGCCGTGTACAGCTACTGCTGGACACGGGTCGCCGAGGAGGACAAGCCAAGCTCAAGCTCGAGTACGGCTCCATGGCGGGTGAGTTGTTTCCGGGGAGGCTTTAAAAAATAGGGTCATTCTTCATGCGCAAGCCATACTTCGACCATAATTTGACAGGAAAAAAACGATGCAGCAAACGCTGCTGTGAGCAGTTTAGCAAAATTTTGCAGTCATATCGGGCACGTTGATGCCACAGGTAGAGCATGAAAAGTTCCGCTTTCTCAAGTGCCCTTTCTAAATACAGAGGCTCTCACTAACTTGGGACGACGTGGCGTCGTCTATTTGTTATGAAATAGGTTGTTGCTATTCTCTGATCGATGACATAAATTATAAACGGTGTTTGGATCACACCCGCTTCTTGCCATGGGTGGTCGCCACGTGCTGGCACCCGTAGTGTGCTAGAATTACACCGTATACTACCACTAAAGTGCGCAACAATCGCAACGTAGGAGAGCGATCGCGTTTCATGACTGCAAGGACGTGACGCGCACTGACGGGACTCGCGCATCCCTATCAGTGTAGCTTCCTGTGCTCTCGTTAGAGCAAAAGGCTGAAAGCGTGTGACAAATCCTTGTAACTGCGCTTGTTCTGTGCCGATTTGAGGGTTGTGTGCCGCATTCGATTGTTGAGGCAGTAAACTCCGATATTGAGTTATGTGATTTACTTGAGATCCGGAATCTCTTCAAAGGGCCTCTGTATAGCATCTAAAATACCAAAAACAATCTCTTTATTCTCTGCTGGCGTTTTTGCTTTTTTGCGGCACAATGCGTGACGTGAGAAGATTGCTCTCATTGCATCACGATGAAATAAGATTTTCATTAGTCTACATACGGGAGATATATGATGCATATTATCACTTACTTTGCTCTGCCATGCAGTCGCGCAACCATTCTTCCCGGTCTCGCAAGACTGTCGGGCGCCAGGAACTGATTTCACTTCGTTTTCTATATTTGCGACGGCGCAAGTTGACGTATCTGCGTGTAGTCGAAATCTGCGAAATCTTGACCGGCCTAACGCTATAGGTGCTGACATTGCCCCAAGAAGATTTTTTAAAAAAAATTCTGGAGTGGAAGCTCTCGCAACGCTTTGCCAGCAGAAGTGAAGCCAGCTTTTGTCCTTCAAAGATCTCAGAAACAGGCTATTTTCTTGTGGTGCCCACTTGGACATCAAATGGCTTTGTTTTGTTAGTCTAAAGACTACATTGAATATAAATTAAAGAACAGTTGTTTCCTATGAAATAATCCGATCCGCAGAGACAAGTATTGGTGACTTAGTCTCCAATAAAATTTGCCTTAAATTCGAGGCTCACTGAAGAAAACTAGTAAGACAAGAACGCACTTTGAGCGCTATCTGACCCGGAAAGGTGGTGTCACACAGGTCCCGTTAATTAGGGAGGCAATCGCCGGGCTAATTCCAAGGGCCGAAGTATCGGCCCCCGAACCGCACCATGAAAGCGTGGACAATTTAGAAGTGGTCCTTTTTGGCGCGCCAGCGGACGCCGGCTGTGGCTCAAAGAACAAGTCAGAGCCGAGAGTTGATAAACAAACAAAACTATATTCTCAACAATGGCAGATCAATAACCATACACAAAAATGCGCACTCCACAATAGTTACATACAATACGTCACCAATCAAACAACGTACTACACAGTACAATCAGCCACACTCAAAACAACGGACACAGACAATGATACGCTCTACAATGCAGTCGCATGCATTGAACAACCAAGACACTTAAAGACTAAAGAGATAGAAAACCTATCCAGTCCAAAGTTCTTGGAACAAAAGTCTGGATGATACTCTTCCGAGAATCACTCACTCAAAGTCCAGCGTTGTTGTCGTTCCGCGCCCTCGAAGTTTCTCTTCCAGGAAATCTCGCGTCTTCAATTGGCCACTCTCCAAGCTTCAAACTTCTTTGCCCGAACACGTCGGCTTCACACACGCAGCTGTCGCCACGCGTCTTCGCTCGATAGCGGTAAACACACTCTCTTGCCTGTAGCTCGAGCCTTCACCCCTCAGGTGGAAATCCTCTTCATCTCCTGCTTCGTCCCTACGGACAAAACCTTCGCCGACTACACGGCGGAATCCCTACGCACTCTGGCGCTAACTTCCGTCTTCTCCTCATCTCTCATCTCGGCTGCTCGGTTAAATACCTTGCGCGCGACATTCCAGAAGGTTCTCGTCATTTCGTCGGCGCGATACGCAGCGAAGGCTGGGAAGAGGGCGAGACGGTTGGAATACCCTCCGCGGCCGATGACTCAACTCGGTATGACCACGCCCCTTTCGTTCTAGAACTTTCGCGGGCTATCTCGGCCGTCGATGTAGGGTGAGGAGGTTCGTCGGCGAAGCCACGCTTCCAAGGGGAGAGCGCGCGCCCGGGGAGCCTTGGATGTTTGTTTTCTTTTTTTTTCTTTTGACCTCCCGGCGTCTCTTCCGCGCGTTACCGCAAGAATTTGGCGGCGCGCCCATTTTTAGCGCTCGTTCTGTGACACTGCCCCCCACTTTAAGAATATTATCTCATAATATTCAGAACCACACAAACGAGCGCGAACAGTCCCCACACACTCAAAGACTGTAACATAGTCCGTCGCTCATGACACGTCACATTCACAATATATCACTCAATACAATTGGACATTACAATTCAATCTCACACTCATGAAATATATCCGCAGGTACATGAGTACAACGCTTCATCACACATTCCAAACAATACAAACGTACAAAGTTCTGTCTTTACAACAATTATACAACACTATACATCACATCACAGCACAGACAGATCGACACTTGTGACACAGGATAACACAGCATTAACACAACATATGGCACTCAGCACTGCCAAACACATTCTGATTCGACTCCAGCACCTATCCTGTGCATTTCGAACGCTGCTTGCGCCCTTTCTTGCGGTGCTCGCTCGATCTCTTCTTATTGTTTTTGCTCGTTTTGTTCCGTGGAGCCCCTTCCAACGACGGTATCTGAGGCAGCGTCTCAGCCATCGTTGTCACTTCCGACACTGCTAACGGGTCATGACGCTCAACCGATCCTGCCCGGTTATTCACCCGCTTGTTCACGTCCCGCCATTTGGCCTGGCTGGCCAACTCCGTCTCCTTTGCACTGTCGGTCGGTTGAGGTCGTGCCGACGTAAGTCCAGTTGCCCGGCCCGTGAACTCATTCGACACGATCATTTTCTCATTCACCGTCTCTTGCGCCGCTTTCACCTTGGGCTCTAGTGAGATCCGTCACGGGATGCTCCTCCACTGTATTTCGCGGTCGCTGGGTTGGCGAGGGCTCTATCTTAGGGTCTTCTCCCAAACATTCCGCGTCATTCGGTCCTCGCACCCCGTCGATGTTTCCGATGACAAGGTCGTACAGGGGGGTCGTCATGCATAAAGCAGTAACCTTCCCGCTGAAGTACGGGGTTTCCACCTAAATCTCTGCTTCGGGAAGCATCCGAACCGTACGGTCAATTAGGCAAACCGGTTTTGTTCTGCCTGTCAACTCGCTTTTCCGTACCAAATTTCTCTGCACGATAACCGTGGAGCTACCGGAGTCTCTTAGAACCGTAATCTTCTTGCCTGCAACCTTTCCGGGCAGCGTTGGCATTCCCTTCGTAATACCGGTTGACAGTTTTGACATTACAGCACCCACAATAGGAATTTTCTCCCCATTTTTCAACTCTACAAATCCGTCGGTGACGGCATTATCATCGGATTTCGGTGCTGCTAGCACACAGGATACCTGGTGAGTTTGACTCGCTCCGTTTCGACATGCGTCTGCTTTGTGCCCAGTCTGACCACACTTAAAACATTTTACTACCATAGGGCTCGTAAAGATCGTTCGACAGTTTTTCACGCGATGACCCACTCGGTTGCACAGAAAACATCGCGGAATGCTCTCTGGTGCACGCTTCTTTTCTTCGGGAGCCAATTTCTTCGAATCATCGGGATAATCCTTCTTGACCTTAGCCAAATTAGTTCCACCTTGCGCTTCCAAGAATTGATCAGCTAATTCAAGCATGTCCTCAAGTGACTCAGCCGTCCTCTCTTTCAAGTACAGCGACAGGCTTGGGTGGCAACTAGTAAGAAATTGTTCTCTAATTAGGAGCTCTCTAAGTTCATCGTACTCCTGCGCTTTCCCTGAAAGTTCAATCCATCTGTCGAAATAATGTCTAAGTCGGCCGGCGTACTGTGTAGCCGTCTCACCATCAGCTGGCTTTCCTGTCCGAAATCTGTCCCGGAATCCTTCTACAGTAAATTTAAATCGCTTCAGCAAAGCAGTTTTTACCTTTGCATAGTTGGCTGCATCGGTCGGTGTCAGCCTACCGTACACACTGAGCGCTTCACCACTCAAGCAAGTACTCAAAGCAGTTGCCCATTGATGTTCCGGCCAATTCTGGCTCCTAGCAATCGTCTCAAATCTGTGAAGGTACGCGTCAAGGTCGTCCTTCCTCTCATCAAACGCTACGAGCAGCTTGCTTGGGTTCAAGCGGAAGCCATGTTCCTCCCGTTTGCTGGTTTCTACTCTAGCTTGGACCGGAGTTTCACTTCGCTGTTGCAAACGGAGCCGCTCGAGTTCCATCTAGTGCTGCCGCTGCCGTTCCCTTTCAGCCATCTCCGCTTCTCTTTCTTCTCTCGCCCTTTCAGCTGCCAACTTTCCCCTCTCCAGCTCCAACTTCAATTGCTGCTCTCTTTCTTCTCTCAACTGTCGCTCCTTTGCCTCTCTTTCTTCTTCCGCCATTTCAGCTGCCAACCTCTCTCGTTCCAACTCAGCTGCTTTTTCTTCCTTGGCTCTCTCAGCTGCCAACCTCTCTCGTTCCAACTCAGCTTCTTTTTCCGCTTTGGCTCTTTCGACCGCCAGCCTTTCTTTTTCCAGCTCGGCTGCCTTTTCTTCTTTGGCCCTCTCTTTTTCTTCTTTTTCCTTCTGGGTGACCCACTTCCGTAGTTCGGCGCCAGAAAGACCCATCTTCTCACCAAGGGCGACTAACTTATCGAGATCCATGGGGTCTCGCAACTCGCAAATAAAACCTTGCCGCGTGCAAAAAGTATCTGCCTAAATCAGTCTATCGGAACACTCCCCTGCACTCGTTAACGAGAACACTGAACAACCGACAAAATCGTTCCGATAGCACTATCAACAACTCGAGGCTCTTCCTCACTACTTTGGACACACTGTGCACCAAAACGTCCTGTGTCGCGGACGCCAGAATAATTGTCACACAGGTCCCGTTAATTAGGGAGACAATCGCCGGGCTAATTCCAAGGGCCGAAGTATCGGCCCCCCGAACCGCACCACGAAAGCGTGGACAATTTAGAAGTGGTCCTTTTTGGCGCGCTAGCGGACGCCGGCTGTGGCCCAAAGAACAAGTCAGAGCCGAGAGTTGATAAACAAACAAAATTATATTCTCAACAATGGCAGATCGGAAACCATACACAAAAATGCACACTCCACAATAGTTACATACAATACGTCACCAATCAAACAACGTACTACACAGTGCAATCAGCCATACTCAAAACAACGGACACAGACAACGATACGCTCTACAATGCAGTCGCATGCATTGAACAACCAAGACACTTAAAGACTAAAGAGATAGAAAACCTATCCAGTCCAAAGTTCTTGGCACAAATGTCTAGATGATACTCTTCCGAGAATCACTCACTCAAAGTCCAGCGTTGTTGTCGTTCCGCGCCCTCGAAGTTTCTCTTCCAGAAAATCTCGCGTCTTTAATTGGCCACTCTCCAAGCTTCAAACTACTTCGCCCGAACACGTCGGCTTCACGCACGCAGCTGTCGCCACGCGTCTTCGCTCGATAGCGGTAAACACACTCTTTTGCCTGTAGCTCGAGCCTTCACCGCTCAGGTGGAAATCCTCTTCATCTCCTGCTTCGTCCCTACGGACAAAACCTTCGCCGACTACACGGCGGAATCCCTACGCACTCTGGCGCTAACTTCCGTCTTCTCCTCATCTCTCATCTCGGCTGCTCGGTTAAATACCTTGCGCGTGACATTCCAGAAGGTTCTCGTCATTTCGTCGGCGCGATACGCAGCGAAGGCTGGGAAGAGGGCGAGACGGTTGGAATACCCTCCGCGGCCGATGACTCAACTCGGTATGACCACGCCTCTTTCGTTCTAGAACTTTCGCGGGCTATCTCGGCCGCCGATGTGGGGTGAGGAGGTTCGTCGGCGAAGCCACGCTTCCAAGGGGAGAGCGCGCGCCCGGGGAGCCTTGGATGTTTGTTTTCTTTTTTTTTTTCTTTTGACCTCCCGGCGTCTCTTCCGCGCGTTACCGCAAGAATTTGGCGGCGCGCCCATTTTTAGCGCTCGTTCTGTGACAGGTGGTCTTGTTAAACTCGTTGGGCGTGCAAGAAAATGCTCCTTCTCAATCGCCGAACGCAAACACTCATCATGCCTCTAGTAAGAAGGCTGCCACAGCGGCCATCTTACGGTTGGCCTGGCTTCACTCGTGAGCAAGAATTTTCACTCCAGCAATTTTTTTAAAACTTCCTTGCATTTCACGTGTTTTATGAAGGAATAAGAGGTGAGGAATGCATAGCGCTTCTGAAAAGTGCTGTGAAAGCGAGAAAGAAACGCGAGCCTCGCCTTTCAACTCAGTGCGCTTCAGAGTGCCCCTTGAGCAATGGCTCAAGCGGGATATCGTAGCCGCCAGTAACTGTCCATAATCGCTTTTTTGAACTCAAGTTCGTCTGACACATTGACAAATGAACGTGTCCCGTCTTAATCCAGTGATACGAAATATAGAGAGTGTGGTTGACCAAGTCCTGCCTTCCTCTGCGCAGACGCCAATCTGACGTACAGCCAACCGAGTGGTGTCGTTCACAACGTCGACTATCCGGGCTGGACGACCATCACGCATCCGACGGTGCTGACCATCGCCCCTGTGAACGCCACACCGACGTCCGCTATTGCGCTCTACTTCGTTCACTTCAACGTGGGCAACCCTGTGAATGGTTCCTGCCCCGCTGTCTTCATGCAGGTGCGGTGGTCTGTTGTTACCCTAGCGAAGGAAAGCAATGATGAATTTAGTTTCACCGAGTATGCTCCTAACAGTTCTCTCTGATATATCCACAAACAAGTGATTGCCTTGCCTAAAACAAGTACGTAGTTAATTACAGCACCTTTTCGGGCGCATGAAATGACGATGGATAAAAACACCAGATAAACAGAGGACCAACAAAGAAGGCTTGGCACCAAAACAGCAGCTGCACGTTAACCAGTTTCTCATTGAATATGTTCAAGTGATATCTGGTACAAATAAAAGTTCTATACAAACAATTCACTACGATAACAAACAGAATATATTTTATTGGACTCTTTTCATAAGGCATCATAGTAGCGTTGAGAGGATGTCACAATGACATCAAAGAGAAGTAATCAAGTTCAGAGATCTGTGACGTCACAATATCGCGTCAGGATGTAGCTTCTGACCACTTGACTTGCACCATTTGTGTTGACGGCGAGGCCAACGATCACTTATTTTCGTTTGATGGTGCATATAAGGCATTTGCCTTAAACTGTAACCCATCAGTTGAACGAAAATCATTTAAATGTGTCACAGCTTGCGAAACCGTTTACAGAAATTACTGTTACGACTTAATTTTTGATACGTATACTACTACAATCTTAATTTATGACATACTTTAATGTCATCTCTATCATATACAATGTTTAGCTTAAGACGTTCCATTTATTTTATACTTCATTTCTTTTTATCAAGGTTTTCACACAACTCGCAGTGGCGCATCACATAGTGGTATGTAACATAGCAGACAATGTTACTTGGTACTCGTGTAGCTAACAAAGTTTGATGTTCCAGACTGTGAACGAGGCTATCCGTTTGCAAAGCACGGTTGCTCACGCATACGGAGGAACTATTTTGCTAAGCGTCTGTAAGAAATCTCCTAGTGGTTGGAAAATACATGTCTTCCAGCGCCTTTCACGAGCGCTGGCCACAATCTTTCATGATTTCTGTGCGAAAAAAAAATGACAATTATGTACGGCAACCAAAAACGTCACTATTGTCTACCTTCGGAGGTTTGTTGTTGGAAATAAAAAAAAACTTCAGTACATAGCATAAAAAGCAACTTCAGTGTCATTACGAAGAAGCATTTAGAACTCCGAAATATTTTTCGTTACATGTCTGGCAAACAACTGTTTTGTGCGAGAAACTGTGTACAATAGATTGGGAACCAAAGATGGTATGTTCTTCATGTTTGACTGGTTGCTCGAGTATTTTTGCCCATTTATATGAGGCATGCCGACGTAAGTTATTGATATTTAGTGTATTAGTGCATCTAGCGCTTCCCTGTGTTGAATCAACAAGTTTTTCTTTGTTACGTGCCCGGATAACGGTGTTGTGCGGTGGTCGAAGGTGGTGCGAAAGTTGCCAACAAGGGTAGCCGAAAGCATCTCGTGCTTAAAAGTTGTCGATATTGGAGACAACAATCATTTCCATTTTACTCGTGCACATTGAAGGTTCGCGACGGTGGCGCCTCCTCGCGGGTCCTGGCCCACGTGTGTGGTGACATCGACCCTGCTCCGGTGTTCTCTACCGGAAACCAGCTCAGCGTTGTCGTCAAAAACACCGCGACATCTCACGCCATGGGTGGATGGGCCATCCGTTTCTTCATGGTTTACTACGTCAGCCCAGCAGACGGTATTTGATTCGTACCTTCATACCATTTGGAAGGTATCGCAGTTGACGGGGTGTACATAAAAATGCAACAGGGTTGCTGTGAAGTTGAGCATGCAGATTTTAGAACGTTGGCTATGAAGTGTTTTCGGGCATGCAACGTTTGCTGGCTACGCTCTTTTTAGATTTTTTCTAAATACCACTTCTAAAACGACGAAATGTTCAGCTCTTAGTTGGGATTCATATGTAGTGAAAGGTAAACTGGCATGAAAACACGGAAGTAATCAAAGAGAACGAGAAAACATGAACGCCCACTATCAAGTGAAAACTGGCATTGTGACGGAAAAGAAGGTATTGACACAATATTTACCTGAAATGGATAGTTGGACGGAAAACTGTCTGGTCACGGACCGACATGAAGATGATTAAAGCATGCACGATACGATAAAATACATTAATACATACGATACATAAAATACATACGATACGATTGAAGCATGCTCTGACCACGATAAAAGCGCATAAAATCAAGACGTTTCGGCCCCCATAAATGAGCTTGTGAACAAGGCTCCCGTGCGGAGGCCGAAACGTCTTGCTTTATTTACTTTTATTGCGCTCAGAGCCTTGTTTAAATTATATTCACAATATTTGCTTACGAATGCTCACAGATGACAGTGCAACAAAGCTATTTGACACGCGTGTAGATGTACGCGAAAGGTGACCGCTCAAGCACATTCCTTGTTTAGGTAAGACTATCAAAAGCTGGCTCTCTCATGGATTTCCACATGCATTGATACTTAGGCCCACGACCGTGAGATAAGTTTCAGTTCCTTCCGAAATTTAATGATATTGTAGTTTTGCCAACACGCCAGGGTGAGAACGATGGGAAGACGAATAGATGAACGTGCCCCTGCATTGTAGAAGGGCAAAGCGACGCTTGATAGCGAAAGGTCACTACCGCGCTTCGGCTGGGATGTCAACAATGCATTCTTGATCAGCATGAGAGACGGCGTCGCTTTTTCGAAACATCAGAAAATGTCATGTTCTGACGTCTTTCCTTTTACCGAAAAGTAACTAATTTGTCCACTTGACACATTCGCGATACTTGGCACACAACTTCTGTCCGTGTGAATCATAATTGAAGTAAAACTGAAGTGACTGATTGATTGATTGATTTGTGGGGTTTAACGTCCCAAAACCACTATTTGATCATGAGAGACGCCGTAGTGGAGGGCTCCGGAAATTTTGACCAAGTAAAACTGAAGTGAAACAATGAATTGGCTTAGATTGATTATTATTTGTTCGCAGAGAACCTTAGTGTTTTTAATTTTACTATGATACGTTTATTGGAAAGAAGAAAATCGGGGGCAACGTATCATTATTAAATGTCGCGCCGAAATCTCAGTGTCTGACGTCAAGAATTTCAAAGCAAATTTTACGTATTTTCGTGCCAGTGGCCTTAGGGAATTCTCCTAAACATGGTACGTTAAGCCTATGGCCGCCTCAAAGGTCGATCTACCTTCAATTTTACCGATTGGGGACTACTCGTAACATAGTAGAGATCGTCACAATTCATATTTTCTTTTCGTGTGTTTTCTCATACTATAGGTGTTTTTTCACGGCTAGAGCGCTTTTATCTGTACTGTAAATTGTAATGTACTAACGCTAGAAAAGTCATTCCTATTTTTAGTGTCACCCTAATGAGCCACTTTCCTAATGAGCCTTCATTTTTCTGTGATGGTGCAGCTCCGGCAGGTTGTGGCGGCAACGTCACGACCAGCGAGGGTGCTATGTCGAGCCCAGGCTATCCCACGACTTTCGCCCAGACCCGCAGTTGCACCTGGTTCGTGACTGGGCGCGCCAGGGCTACGCTGCAGCTAAGTTTCGTAGCGTTCGCCTTCAACTCTACCGCCGCCAACTGTGAGTCCAACTACCTGGAAGTTTACAACGGACATCGGGATACCCCTGACGCCAAGATTACACGCCTCTGCGGCCAGGTACGCCACTGCAATAGTCATTTTGTTTGGTAGTGCTAAACTCACTACTTTCTCAACAACACATGGTGGTGGCTCTTGTGAGGTCCAAGTGCTGCTTCAATCCCCCACCCATGTTCAGCCCCGAATGCGGACAAAATCCTATTTTTGCGCGGCCCTGGCCATGCAACACATAATGAGCTTCCCCTCGGGAACAAACTACCTAATCATCGATTCGCAAGCAGCGTGTTGGACTTTTCTACAGATTGATAAATTCCAATAACCTCACATTCCATTTTTCACACCAGCCCCATCGTACACACACAATTGGCCATGCCTCACTGCCATGTAATGAGTGTGCTCATGTTGCCGCTCGAGAACTCGCCCTCCAAACAAACCCACGCATTCAGACGGCCATCGCAGAGCTAGGTTGCCCACTTCTCAAATAGCCCGTGTTCACACAGCATTACATGCGTGAGCGACAGCGATTCCAACACCCCCCCCCCTCCTAGTTTCCTTCCCATGAAAGGAGGCTGTCGCACTTCGCCTGCTGCAGACCCGAACTTTTTTCCGAATCTGCACTTAATGCGTAAATTATACTTAAATCACCATACCTATATGCCTGCCTGAGAAGTAGCGCTCTCCCAACAATTTTTATATCAGTGGTTAATTATTAGAGAAGAAGAAAGAGGAGGTACTTGTTTCTGTCTCCCTTATCGGTGACATGCATGCTAAGCGTCTTGCGGGGAGGCGAAGTAGGCTTAGAAGAAATGGAGAGAGTGTGTGAGGTTGAAAGCAAGTAGAGGAGTAGGAGAGGAGGTCGTCCACCCTAGAAAGGGCAGGAGGTCAACGCATCAAGGTTAGGCATTATGGAGATGAGCGTGTCCCGCGAACTCCAGGAAAGCCCGCCGTGCTCGCAGGGGCGTGACCGCGCCGGGAAAAAATGTCCTGGACAGATGTCACAGCCCAAGATGTTGGTATCGGCTCGCCCTTCTACGTCGCTCGGCGGCTAATGCCGGGCCGGAGCAGAGGATGTGTTCGAGTATTGCCGCATCCGCTGCACGCAGCTGATGAGCAGCGTCCCGTGGAATGCATTCGTGCCGCGGGCCAGGCACTACTGGTCCGCAGACAGAACCACTGGTTCCTATCCCGGCCAGACTACCTGATAGGTGGTGGCTTGCAACACACAATCTTTCACGCCACCGTAGAGTGCACCACTGCCTACGTTCCTCCCCTCCCGCAAATCTTTCGGTCCAGCCCGTGCCTCAGAGCAGTGGGAAAGTTTCCTTCGCGACGACGCCCCCGATGTCTGTAGGGTGCCCGTACGGCGGCCTTGGATTCTCGCAATTGTTGTCCTAAGAGTCCCAAAATAGAGACCCTCCTCGCTTTTTTGTGCGTTATTCAATAAAGAAATGTTTTCACATCATCTTCGTCATCATCATGACCATCATCCGAACGTTGTAGGTGTCCGCGGCGTTGTCAAGCTATCAAAAGATAGCTCTTACCGCTGGCTCCTCGACTATCGCGACGATAGTTATCGCGCGGGAACAGAACGACGACAAAGGGCAAGAAGAAGACAAGCGCATCCCTTTGTCGTCGTTCTGTTCTCGCGCTATAACTATCATTATGTCATACCAACTAGCCCAAACTGCCGCACTTCGAGTGTCACGTTGTGTTTTGATGACGAAATAAGTCAATTCCAATTATATGATTGGTGTTCTGAAACATAATGGTGTTCTTAGGATTCACAAATGAAAAGAACGTAAAAACCACCTTTCAAGATCAGTTATGTAACCAGGACTTCACGATAAAGAATTATTGCTTTCATCTGCTCAATTAACTAAGATTGAATAATGAACTTTTTAGTGACTGCATCAAATGGGCGTGTTTGCATTGAAAAGTTGGAGGCAGTCACGTTTGTGCGCACTCTCACTTGGAATAAATCTTCTAGCATGCCTGTGCTCCGAGATAATCCTTCCCAAAAGTTTTTATTGCAGTTTTAGTGATTACGCATGCAAGGCGATCACGAACGGCACAGTCAGTTTTTAAAACGATAGGACGACCAGTCATTGTTTGCTATCACCAGCTGGTAGAAAAGAGCGGTAACCGTTTTCATAACTTTCGACCAGATGCACGCAACTGCTTGGGCACATAGGAGAGGAACTTTGCGCCAATGCTGACTACATTGCATGCGTAATCATGCAAAGAAATGCTCATTATATTTTCATTTTTGTTATTAGTATTTTTTTATTTTGTACATTCACTTTGTCCGCCTATTGATGCCCAGTATGTAAAAGTATTGAAGTTCGAGCTCGTGGGGAAAACAACACAGCAAACAATGATGTTTCACCGGCGAGATCGGCCTTCGTTGGCGCCCCACGAAGGCCAGACTCGCCGAAGTGCATGCTTTGTATCTGATGCTATCGTCGCTGGTGTGTTATCATACAACCTTTCTTCCTTTGTGCAAGAGGCGCCATGTTCCACAATCTCAGTTTTCTATAGCGCAGCTTATTTTGAGCCTAAATGAAATAGACAATGACAAGACAGGAAATGACAGGCAAGATAACGAGCGCTGAATTTTCAACTTGTTTTTAATCCTTAACCATGTAGCACGTATATATAGCACATACGTAGTCTCCCTTACAGCCCACGCGACGCCACACACATAACAAAAAAAAAACACCGTTGAACGGGTGTCGCAGCACTTGTGACCTATGACGCTTTCCTATTCTGTCTCAAACGCAGGACATGCCAGCGACACTTCAGTCATCAGGCAGCCAACTTCTCGTCAAAATGGCCACCAACGAAAAAAACACGGGCGTCGGTTTTTACGCCAGGTTCAAGGTTCAACACGATGGTAAGACCTATGAGTGTCCACGTGTTAAATGAAAAACATGGTTACGGCGTAATGTATTAAAACCATAAAACATGACTACAGGCACAAGGTACGCTTTCTCTACTACGGAGTGAACGAAAGTACAGATGGGTACGGAAAGTGACAAGAACAGAGCGACTAGAACATTTTCTCGTGTTTCGCATTTCTTATCAAGCGGCTGTAGCCTGGCAGGTAAATAAAAGTCACTAGAATTATTGTCACTGAAGTGAAATTCGTTCAAACAAGAACCATATATTCTAGCATTTTTTTCCTTTATTGTAACTAATGCTAGAGTGTGATGAAAATGGCATTGCAAACTGTTCGCATTTCTTTCCATTCTTCCTGGACGACTGTTACAGCTTCGTTGTTTACTCAAGTTTCCGTCGGTCATCCCACAGGTTCTTAAGTTCCACAGCTGACCGTGAAGTCATGGACTCGAATGCTTGGGAAACGCTGATTCATGCATTGATATGAAAGTGTGCACTCTAGACGTACATTATCTGACAAAAATTCAAATATTTGTTTAGTTATTATTTTTTCCGTTAGTAATACTGCGGATCTCGCAAGAAACTTCGGCAAGGAGGGCATACGGGTAAATATCAGAGAAGTACAACAAAAAACTATTGATGCACTCCAAAACTCCACAGTAAACAATGCATGAAGATCAATACCTGCAGTCTGCTTGAAATAAAAGCGAATTATTGCAACCGCAATGGTAAGGTGCGAAAAGCTAGTTTTGTGTGTGTGTGTGTGTGTGTGTGATGGATACTATTTATAATGATGAATATTACCTCGTATATGCGAGTTTGATATGATTTCAGCGCTGTGTGACCATTACCAGTGCTAATTGTGAAAAAGGGTAAGTTGACAGATCTAGCTTATTTTCAAAAGTGCGAGATAGAACAGCAATGTGCCCCGCCGCGGTGGTCCAGTGGCTAAGGAACTCGGCTGCTGACTCGCAGGTCGCCGGATCAAACCCCGGCTGCGGCGGCTGCATTTCCGATGGAGGCGGAAATGTTGTAGGCCCGTGTGCTCAGATTCGGGTGCACGTTAAAGAACCCCTGGTGATCGAAATTTCCGGAGCCCTCCACTACGGCGTCTCTCATAATCACATGGTGGTTTTGGGCCGCTAAACCCCACAAATCAGTCAATCAATAAAACAGCAATGTAAAGATATTTTGAAGCAACTCGTTGCTTAGTGTCCAACGCCTGTATATTATTATTATTATTATTATTATTATTATTATTATTATTATTATTATTATTATTATTATTATTATTTGTAGTGGCAACTGTATTAGCAGCATTTACCATGCTGCAACCATATTAGGTCAATAAACTTAATATTATAATTGCGTTTCTATTGTCTTCGTCCCTATATTGCCATGGCGTGAAAATTTGTTTGGCACAAGTGTTTAGGGGGGCATTTTCCATGATAGGTACAGTGCCCTGATGTTCATTTCCAAATCAGAGTAGGTCATTCTTTTATCTCTGTTTTCTACTTTTTTTTCCACTACAGCGCTCTCGTTGTCGTGAATCAACTTTATCCGCCAGTGTCATTTGCTTGACAGACGTTTTTTTTCTGTTCTTGCAGACCAGCGGACACGCACAGGATTACCTTGAGAAGCATATCCACCCGTTCATCCTATTGAATTTTCGGATCGCGGCTCTAGTTAAGCTGTAGTCCTCACGAAGGTATTTCGCAAGATACTTATGAGGACGGCAGCAGAACAACGCATCGTCATTGTATTCATAACTGATTTCGAAAGATTTTTTTGCAACTTGCCGGCTTGATTGGTATTCATGAATTTGCGTGTTCTGAGACAAGACACATTCTGCCAGAAATATATTTTGGCTGTTTTTACACTTTTTTTTCTTGTACCTCGCTTTCCCGTTCAGCCCCGAGCCGACAAGCGTCGTTTCGTGAATAGTTGGAGTTGCACTTGAAGCTGATAGTTGACGAACAAGCATCGAAATGGCTGTTTAAATTTTAGAACATATTACTGTACAACACAATTCGGGTAATAATATTAGGCAAATGGCAATTGGACAAGCAAACTGTGTGTCCGCGTGGCTTACGAAACGCAATGCAATACGTATGCTCGTGCGGATCCAGCCTTGACCGCGTGAGAAGATTAATGTAACTTTTCCCGAAGCGCTGATAGGTTGACAAGGGAAAACACGTGACGCTGCCCGATGTCGTTCTATTCCACAGCTTTTCTGCGTTCTGGTTCCGTTCTCATTTATATCATTTTATATCATTGCTGTCAATGCTCATGCTTTCCCAATTGTTTTGTTCATCATTGCAAAGTAACCGTTTAGCTGCGTCGTGTCGAGGAATAAACTACCACGGAAAGTTGTTTTTTTTTTCATCACATCGTCATCTGCCGTGCAAGATCATTGAGCTGCAATTGTATAGAAAATCAATCAATAAATTGTGTTATCTAAGATGTTCCTTTGTGCTATGCCTTCTTATACGATTGTCAGTATGGTGCACAGTTCACTCTGCTTTGTATTTGACAGATCAGCGTTTCTTAGTTACGTAAAAGGAAGCGAGTTACAATCAATGCTCGCGCTTCAAAAACGATCAGCCCGAACCAGCGCAACAATTAATGCACGAATTCCAGAAGTTATTTGCTGAAGAAAAGGTGCACAAGCCGGAAAATGTAAGGCATACCGCCTAATGCTATCTACTGTGCATTGCCCTCGAAAATTCCAAGGCGAGCATAAATCATACCTGAGAGTTTTCAGACGGCACTTAAAATACGAGCGTGTAACTAACTTAGAAAGACAAGTACAAGAGCATACTGTCAATTAACAGTTTATTATGAAAACTTTGGCGTATATAAAAATTGGCCGCGTGTCTGCGTACTTTGCAGCAAATGTCATCGAAAGATGATAGTTTTCTGCCGGCCGTACTACATCAGTTCTGGTCTCATCCATAGTCACCCGTGATGCTGTTCTCGTAAGTAAGTAGGCAAGTAAGTAAGTAAGATGGTGTTGCTATTCCTTTTTGACACAGGGCAGGAACTCGCAGCGCCACAAGATGAAAAGTTGCGCACTTTGTAGGTCCGTGCACACACACGCACACAAATCGAGTAGGCGCTCACAGTGCCACGAGTTAAGAAAGTCGCGCGTCCCACTCAAGGCTCCACACGCCACTCTCACACTCCGTGAGCCAAGTTGGCCAATCAAGCCCGGTCTATCCACTGGCTCCGTCGTGTCGACGGCTCGTCACTGTGTTGGCTGCGCTGGGCTGTATGCTGGTGGTGTCCGCTAGCCGGCACATTCTGTCCTAGTGTATTAAGTAGAGTGTACTAGAATGGGGGAGTGGGTCCACTGTGGCCGGCGGCAAGCGGTGCGGGTGAAGCAAAAACGGCGGAAAATTTGGTGGCGCTGCAGTAGCCTTCTCCTGAAGTGACGTCAGTTTCGGCGGGAGCGTGCGAGTCGTGCGGCGGTTCGGGCCGCACGACGCGCTGGCGGGGACGCTGAGCGCTCGATGTTGTCGTCTGCTCGACGCGCCGTCGTCTGTTCGATGCACCGTCGTTCGTGCGCTGTTTTCACAATTTGTCTCCTGGTTCTTTTTTTACACATTATTAGAGACAAAAACAAGTGACATGAAATAAAATGTATGCTTTTTTTCGTGAACGCGTAGGTTTGTATTTCCCTTTGAGCAAAGCCGTCTGGACAAAGAATACGCGGCAGACGGCACGTTTGCGTGCGCAGATATGTGTCTGCTGGTTGCATAACGGAGCGTTCCAAGCTGCTTCAAAAGATTAGAGGATGAGCACGTCTAGGCGTAGAAATTACTGTTGTGTCGTAGGCTGCCAAACCGGATACAGCAGAGTTAAAAACCAGCCCAAGCTCTCACTCTTTGGAGTACCTCAAGACGAAGAAAGACGCCGGCTATGGGACCAGAATCTCAACCGCGCTGATCGGCCCTTGCAAGTCACCGATGCCATTTGCGAGCTGCACTTCGAGCAAAAATACATACTAAGGCAATATGTACATATTATCGAAGGCCGAGAAGTATATATAGAGCGGGGAAAGCCGGAACTTCGCAGTGATGCTGTACCCATAATTATACCTCATCTCCTGAAGTGTCCTGACGAGCAGCCCACACCGGAGCAGTCAACGAAGAAGAGAGCGGCTTCACCACCAACCTGTGAAGACCAGCCGTCAAAAAGAACTGCGCTGCAATCAGTTGAGCCGCAACTGAGATTTGAAGATTGCGAAAGTGCGAGGCAAAGCGACAACGCATTTGAACTTGAAGACGTTGTCCGGCCAAACGACCACTGGGCAATGCACAAGTTTCGTCATTATGACGGAATTGCTTATGTTTCGGCCTCCCTAAGTCGTGAACTCGTAAGCATCGAAAAGACTGTGCTCATGAATTACGGTACCGACCGGAGTGAAGTGATTTGTCGGACATATGTTCGGAAGACGCTGATCTCCGAAAAGGTCGCCTATAACCTTGAAGATGCCAAACAAGTCCTGGACTGCGCAGAATCTCTTCACCCTTGCAGAGGAGCAGGTAGGGCGAAGGACTTCACCTATGACGTTCTTACGAAGAAACTGGAGCAGCAAATCTCTCATTCCGACGGCCTTGTCTTCAGTGTCACGTGCAAAGGAGCGGTTAAACAACAAGGTGAGTGCGGCAAACGTTTATTGAGACGTCACTTGTAATTGTACAATTAATCAATCAGTAACCTGTTTAATGCTAGAACATTTGTGTGGCCCCTAATTTTTGTAGTACTCATTAACATTTACGAAAGAATAGTTTGCCTACAGAAAGTGAAAGTGCATAAATTGCGTTTCAAACATGCATGGTAAAAAACTGGAAGCTCTTCATAATTTTTTTCTCGTATACTTCCAGGTTCTTCATGCATTTCATGCAAGTACGTGAGGAAAGTAATACTCACCAGAAAAAGCTACCTAAAACGAAAAGAGCGAAGAAACTCAGTCTCCACCAAACTGCGGGTCCTGAGTCAGAGAAACAAGCGGATGGCGACAAGGCTGTTGGACATTGCTGGTCGTCTCGAAGAGATGAGGGCAAACAATGCGAATGTCGCGGATAAAATACTAGAGGATAAAATATCGTCACTACCGCGAAAGCAGCAGGCAAGTGTTCGCGCTTGCTTTCAAGCTGCCAAACAAACCAGCAAGCAGGGCATGCGCTACAATCAGGAGTGGATCCTCGAGTGTTTACTCATGAAACTAAAGAGTCCCCGGCTTTATCAGCACATCAGAAAGAACGAAATTCTCATGATGCCCAGCAACACTACTTTGAAAAGATACTTGAGGTCATACGAGTCGGCCTTCGGTTTTAATCAAGCAGTAATGAACACTCTAAAGAAAAAAACCGCGAGCATGTCAGACCTCGAAAGACACGGCGGACTATTGGTGGACGAAATGAAATTGTCAGAACATTTCAATGTGACGGCGTCTGGCCAGATTCAAGGCTTCGTGGACCTTGGAGAATTTACGAAGCCCGAAGACAAGTACCAGCAATGTGATCACGGCATGGTCATCATGTTTGTGCCTTTCGCTGGAAAATGGAGCCAAATTGTGGGCGTTTTTGCGACAAAAGGAAATGTGAGAGGAGACATTTTATTGAAAATTCTCATGGAAGCTACCATCCTCGTGGAACAGGCGGGCTTGTTCGTCGACCACATCACTTGTGACGGAGCCCCCTGGAATCGAAAAATGTGGAAGCTAGCGGGGGTGTCGGCGTCATCGAAGAAAATAAATGGCGCCATACAGCATCCTGTCGACGAGATGAGGAAATTGCACTTTATCTCCGATTTCCCGCATCTGCTAAAATGCCTCAGGAATGGTCTTCTCCAGAAAGGCTTTGCAACACCAGACGGATTGGTACGTATAGATTCATGGTTGACATTTTACAAAGATTGTGTTTTTTGCATACATTGCATTACCTCAACCTATATTTCTAGGTGTCTGTGCATCCGGTTCGGGAGGCGTACCTTCTAGACAGAAGTGTTAGGACACTGAAAGTTATGCCCAATTTGACCGAGACGCATCTGGAACCAAACTCATTTGAGAAGATGAGAACCCCTTTCGCCTTCCAACTATTCGGTCCATATGTCCTACGGGGCCTGGCCTTCTACAAGGAGGACATCGAGAGAAGGTGTGGCAGCATCGAGGCAACTCAGCTGTTCTTCTCGTGAGTTGCGCCTACGTTCCAAATGAATTAAGTGTAATCGTAAACATCTCAAACGCATGATGAGCGCTCTTCTGACATACATTCTTTTTGTTTATTTTGCAGGAAGATCCAACGACTGATCACCGTGATGACTTCCAGGTTTCGGGCCGAAGCGCTGAGACCAGCTTCTACAGACGTGGCATTCCTGTCCAATTTTCTGGACTTCCTGAATGACTGGGAATCATTCAGTGACAACAAGCGGCACTTTCTCAGCGAGTCCACTGCCATAGGTTTTAGGGTCACTATAGCAAATACCCTTTCATTGCTGAAGTACCTGACAGAGAGCGTTGGATTCAAATATCTCATGACATCTCGACTTAGCACCGATCCCGTGGAACATTTCTTCGGCATCGTTCGCCAGTCAAGTGGCTGCAACGCGCACCCCTCTCCGGATGAGTTTCTAATAACCGTCAACTGCTTGTCCTTTTATAACTTGGCGCACAGTGTGGACAGCGCAAACGCAAACCCTGACATGATAAACGCTCTTGTCACTGTGCATGACAGACAGGGTCTAAAGGTCACGCACAAAAAAATTGATGATCTTATATCACAGGGAAAACTTGGCGAGGTCGAAAGCACGATTGCCACGATGCCAGAAAAGTTTGCTGACCACATCGATGTGACTTTGGAGAAGAGTGACTCGAGACTCATTTACTACACAGCAGGGTACGTGGCCAGAAAGTGTGTATTGAAGTTGGCATGCGTACAATGCAAAGAAGTGCTTCTGTTTGAGAAAGCTGTCGCGGTTGCTGAACAGCTCCCTTCGCAATTCACGGAGCAATGCGACTGGGGTGGACTTCTGTACCCCTCACGACAGCTGTATGATTTCATTGCCTCACTTGAAAACTTGTTTACTGAATGTTTCAGTGTTTCCATGTTGCACACAGATAGCATCTCTGACATCCTTTCATTGGTGAAAACTAATTTTCTGAACTCGAAAGCGGTCGGCTGTCCAGACCACAAAGATGCAGTGAGCACAAAGCTCGTTTCGTTCTACGTGCTCACTCGCCTTCACTTCTTAGTGAAGGGAATGAACAGGGAAAACGCTTCGAAACGAGCGAGAGCAAAACACTTAAAGCTTAGCAGGACAACATAGAGCCTGACGTTCCTTGAGCGACGGTGTCGAAGTCTTTCGATGATATTTATTTTGTTTTTTATATTTATGCGAAAAGCTTGCGCAGTCAATTTAAAATAAAATATTTTGCGCATATCACTTCTTTATTGGTG